CAAATTCCTTAGACCAATTACAGAATTAATGTATGTTTAATACAAAAGTTTAAAATATAAGTCCATAAATGCCTTTTGATCAAAATTCAGAGCTAAATACTCAAATTTTTTAGTCACATTATAAAATGAGATGGTATGGAAAAGGAATTATAGAAATATAAGTATAAAAAAAGAAAAGCAGAGGCAAGCATCCTTTTCTTTATTTAGAACAGATACAAATACTCACACAAATGTTAATGTCAGAGAGCATCCGAAATACAGAGAATAAGTTATCCAATCAGTATAATATTCTTGTATGAAAGTGACGATGTTCAAAATAGGACAGTAATAAAGAAAAATAAGAAGAAGAATACTACGAGAAAAAATGTAACTAATCTTTTAATAAATTTAATTTGTTGAAGATTTTTTTATTTTTATATCATTAGTGTATTTGTTTCTAAATATGAATTCAGTAAATTAATCAAAATATTTATATTAGTGTACTTTGCTAATACTAGTAAACTATACTTAAAAATTCGTTAATTACCAACGAAATACAAACGAGAATTTCATCAAAGAATAAAAAGTAATTAAAATTTATTGCATGTACAATTAAAAAAAAAAAATCAGTATAGTCGGAACGGGAGTGTTGACTACCAGTAAGTATTGAAATTTCACAGTGATTAAAAACACTATTATATTTTTATGGTAATAATTTTAATCACTGTCAAATAAACTCGCGTTTTAAAACATACATTTCAGTCCTTTAATAAAGTTCTAAGTTCTTTAAAAAATAAATAAATTATTTTAATATTAATTTTATTTAGTTTAAAATTAATATTTAATCATTTAGTATCGTAGTTAATACAGTCAAATCATAAAAAAAATAGATTATTTTCATCTTTGGTAGTTGATTATAATTTCAATTATGGAATTGATATTGTAATTTATCATAAGCCAGTTATAGTTATAGTGCAATTTTTTTTTTAAACAGCACCCTTATTTTTATTATACATATTTTTATGAAAATCTATAAAAATCCTCCCTGAAAATATTTTAACACTTAAATCTTATTAATTTTTTTTTTTTTTTTTAAGTATATTAAAACATATCTAGGTATTTATTTTTAAATGACTGCACTGTTTGACTTAATAATTAATAATTGAAACAAATTGAAGCAGAAAATTATAACACGAAAAAATTTATTTTTTACATAAAAGTAACATATTTAGTTTAACTTCAAAAGCTGTTTATACATAGCACACAAGTTGTCATCACACATTTTTTTATCAAGTAATTATACAAACTATTATTTAATATATATTTAAGGATACAGGATTTTCGAAACATTTTCAAAAGTCAAGTTGAAAAAGTTCTATTTTTTATAAGTATATTTAAGGTTTTGTGCCCCTCCCCCCTTTATATGGAAAATGTCAGATTTTTAAAAAAGTAATGAAAGTTCTTTAAAAAAATATATTTAAAAATGTCGATATTTACCAATTTTAAAAGTCTTTTCATTTACGAATTTTAAATCCTTTCCATTAGGCATATAAAAGTAAATTTTCTAAAAAAAAATTACCTAATGAAACGAATAAAAATATCAATTCAGTGAGAGCTGAGAAAAGTTGGTGAAGACGCAAAACATTAAAATAATAGTAAAATTAATGATTTTTATTACAAAACTTTTAAAATCACAAATAATTGAAAATAAATTATTTAAAAACGGTTTAAAAAATATTGTTAAGCTTATTTTCCACGTATTGTGATTCGTCAAATTGAATTTAAATAAAGTAATAAGACACCTTTCACAGATATTGTGAATTCTTTATCTAACACCATCTACTTACTCCAATGATTTTCACGTATATAGAGATTTGTGTATTCCCGGTACCAAAAAGGGTAAAATTGAATTTTATCACGAAATCAGTTACCTGACCTTTTAGCACCATTAATACTAGGTAGATGGATAAAATAAAATAAAACTTTGAATAGCGCTTAAAATATACGAATACGAGCATAAAAGAAATCCTTACCCCTAAAAAAGTATAGGTATATATTACTTCTATGAACTAGTAAAATTTACTGAAACGTAAAAAATTAGAAATACCTTATTATAACACAGTACAGTACTACTATACAGGGTGTTCAGTAAGTCAGGAAACGGGTATCTATTGTTCTCATTGTTACAAACAATGAGAACAATAGNCAAAAAAGTATAGGTATATATTACTTCTATGAACTAGTAAAACATACTGGAACGTAAAAAATTAGAAATACCTTATTATAACACAATACAGTACTACTATATATCAATTCTATACATTTTTTTCACTTCAACGAAATTTAAACACTTGGGATGTCGATTTTATTAAAATTATTTCCATTTAAATGTTTTAAAAATAATTTTAAATAAAAGTAAGTTCATATTTTATTTTAAATGCAGTCATTTATTTTTCCAGGTACATTACTGAAGTATTAACTTACAAATCTTCAGGGTAGTATTGTTATACTTTAAGAAACATAACATGGGTATATTGAAAATAATAACATATGATCTTTAATTGTATATTAATACTTAATTAAAAATATTTGAAAAACATGAACAGTCTAATTGATTAAAAAATTAACACAAATGTGCTAAGAATATACATATTCTAATGAATAAGATTTGTAAGATTAAAAAGATTCTATTATGAGTAGTAATTAACGAAAAAATATGTATAATGTAGCATTTTTCAACTGATGTTGCGTTTGTGTTGATAATTAAAACGATTTTAGTTTAGATAATTATTGTTGATTTTAATAAAATGGTAGCCGTAGGTACGCACATTTCAAATAAATAACAATATTAATATTATTATTTGTTTGAAATGTATAAATGTATCAAAAAATTGTATTTAAAAAAAACCAAATAACTTAATTGAGATGTAATACACGGATTGTCGAAAGGAGAACAAAGAGGGAGGAGACACTTAAAAGTTAAATCTTATAGTAAGAGTAGTATAGGAGGGGCAAACAAGAATGCCGACAAACTGGTTTTCTTCGACTCCCGCCGGTGGTCGTTGCTGCCGCCACTGCTGATATCCCACTTGTTCAGCCACCACTACTTAACAGTCAAATGTATAGGCAAATCCAATTAGAAACAAAGTTCCATTGTTGTGTGAGGTCGGTAAATTATTACTCATACGATATTCGACGGCAACGCTATTTGTGTGAACAGCATCTATGATTACTTTGATGTCTTCATCATCTCGTTTCACACATGATGACGCACCAAACCACCTCTTTCATGTTATGTAGAATATACCAACTCTCATAGTGCTACTATTCACTTTTAGCACTACTATACATAAAGCACTTACCAATTCGTCCGTACTTGATATATCCGAATTGAATCGTACAAAACCCACGAACTAACAAACTTTTTATTGTTTCTATCCAAAGTTTTATCGAGTACTAGTTTCCCCATAAATTAATAATATAAATTAAAAACATTTAGTTTTTTTAGAAATCATATGTAAAATCCCGTTTAACTTATCAACCAGTTAAAACTTAGTATAGTATTCGACTTGCACTCTTAAATTATTACAATATCAACAACTCATAATTATCGTTGTTTCTTGAATGATTTCAATTTTGTAAACTTTTAATTTACAATTTTTAAATATTATACAAAACTTAAATTAAAAATTAGCAAACTGAAGTATTGATAATTTATGTAATATTAATATTCATTGTAAATAATGATTCTAATTTAAACCAAATTATGTTTCATGAATACAAAATATTTTTAGTGTAGTATATTATTTAAACAATCAGTCCAACAAACAAGTTATCGCTCTACGTTAATCTTCTTTAAACTTTATACTAGCTTAATTTGTAATTATCTACTAAAAATATTTATAAAAAAATGATGGAATAAACTAAATTACCAAAAATCAAAAGTAGGAACATTTATAATAAAAATCTTACTCGTATAAATTTTAACATATGTATTCATACGTACATGTATGTATAATATTAAATCTTTTAATTGATAATTTTAGTGGAACATCTATATCATTGTTCTTAGTTTTTAAATTTCTAAAACAATATAAATTTAATTTAAGAACATGAAAAAAAAAATAAGGTTCAGATAAAAAATTTTATAAATAAAAATCCTTCCATTATGTTTTTAAGTTATATTGAATTAACTTTTTTTTCAATTGTAAATGTTATACACAAATTTAAAAATATAAGTAATAAATTAAGAAAATACACTTTTATGGATATACTTAAATATAACTATAAATTTACTTAAAGGATAATAATGATTGATTTTCTTTTGAATTATGAAGAATATTATTTAATAAAATTCAAGTCATTTTATTATTACAGTACTTTAATAAGTGAATATTTAAGAATTTATATCAAAGAACATAATATGTCAAATAACTTATTGTATAATAACACATTAATATTACACACCGGTTTATTCAAATTATTTTTATTTGTAATATTGATATACATAATATTTATAATGACATGCTTCATAAAATGTTGTACTTATTCTCATTAGTGGTTAAGTGCGCTAAAATTAGATATAGCAATGCTCTTATTGAATACACAACAGAAAGAACCTTTTCTTGGAATACTATTCCAAATAAAATTAGTGGCGTGAAATCCTAAAATGAATTTAGGATATGTTCTTTACAAATAATTGCAATGATAATTTCTAACTCTTTATTAAAAATTTAAAACAAAGAAAATTATAACGTATTTATTTTATTTTGTAAATAACACTGCCATTTTTTTCGGTTTTAAAATAGATTTTAATAAATTTTAGAATAATTATACACGCTTGGTGTGTGATAACCCTTATGATTAACTTTTTGAAAATAGTTATGTTTAAAAAAGATTTGAATGATCAAAGTAGCGAAAATGGAATGGCTATAATTGATATTCCATTACTAAACTACATTTGTTCATTTATTTTTAAACAAAAAAAAAACGAAAACAAACAAATGAACAATATAATTTACCTTTACACTGTGTAGTTTGGTTGTTGATCTTAGGAGTTTCTTTTAATATCCTTTGTGTTCGTAACAGTACACAGAAAACTATGTTTAAAAGAAACACAAAGAAATTGTAAAACCACAAAAGGTTAAGAAGAAAACAAAAAGTACAACACGATTTAAATGATTCGACAATACGCGAACAAGACGAACCGTATGTACTCTGCGGCAGAGTGCGGCAACTAACTGTCGAGAACGACCGTCTAGTGCACGCGGTGGTAGCGGGCAAGCTAAAGACACTCACAACTCCTCAGTGATGTTGGTGTATGTTGGCCAGGCAACCACGAACGCTGTGCACAGACAAAACCAGCCCGGCGCAATGAAAAAATCATGTAGGCTGCATATTATAAATTATTACCTTTTTTCATTATTGTCTTGTTTTAAATACTTTTAAAATACTTGGCATCCTGGTGCATAACATGTCATTGAGAGCAACGCAAAATTAATTTAACGATATATTTAACACGTTTAATATGAATCAAACATTACCCATTGTAATTGCCTTAAAAGTTTTTTATTTTTATTTTACTAATATATAATTTAAAGACAACTTAAAAAAAACATTAAATTGCTAAAAAAAATTACTCTTGATATACTTATATGACGAAATTTATTCGTTTTTCCATTATCAGAAATAATAAATCAGAAAATTCTATCTTGTAATCAGAAACTCGTGAATTTGAGAATGTATCAATTTTATAATGATATTATTTTTTTATGCCAGTCTCCTATTATTCAATATTTTACTTGACCAAATTTGTTTAAAATATATGTCAAAAGGTCACAAATCATATCTAGTTGAAGACATTAACCTCAAAATTAAAAAAAAAAGCTCTTGTTACACGTAAATGGGCAGAATTCCCCAAAAAATAGGATTTTTAAAATTGATAAATTTCGATATTTTTTTTTTTATTTTTTCTTAAAACTGCCATTACTCTTTTAAAAATCTGACCATTTCTCAAACAAAAGGGGAAAAAAACTTAAAATATACTTATTAAAAGTAAAACTTGTTCAACTGGACCTATGAAAATCTTGTATCTTTTAAATATTTATTAAATAAAAAATTGTATAATATATTAGTATTTTAAAAAAAAATTTGTTCCAAAGATTTGTATTGGCTACCGAATCAAATAAATCCTTTCTTTTTTTGTTGATTCTCCGTTTATATTTTTTAATTTATATTGCTATAGCTTGTTGAAAAATGTATAAATTAATATATATATTTTTTTTTTGTGTAGACTTTATAATAGTCATTTCACATCCTTTTTCCATAATCTAACCCATGTATAGAGAGCGTTCACAACTTAAAACGTTTCATTTTTTTCTGTCAGTTACCAGTTTTTCTCAGCTATCAACAATACTTCAAAAAATCACAAATCATATTTAAACGGTGTAGGGACATCACTACTTAACTCTAGGTTGGACTCGTGTATAAGGTAGAAAGATAGATACAAAATAAGAATAGGTAGTTGGGATGTTGGAACATTAACTGGTAGAAGTGGAGAATAAGTAGAAGTATTGAAGAGGAATAAAGTTAACATTTGATGTGTGCAGGAAACTAAATGGAAAAGAGAGAAATCGTGGAAAATAGATGAGGTTTATAAAACAATATACTCAAGTAAGTCTAGTACAAAGAATGGTGTAGGGATAATAATGGATGAGGAGATGAAAAGTAAAGTAATAAAAGTAGCTAGGAAAAGTGACAGAATTATGGTCGTGAAATTGATATTCGAAGAAAATGTGCTGAATCTAATAAGTGCCTATGCACCACAAGTGGGATGTGATGAAATAAACAAGGAAGTGTTTTGGAGAGAGATGGACGAGGTGATGGAAGGGGTACCTGGCAATGAGGATGCGGTGATAGGTGGAAATATGAATGGACATATAGGTAATGAGAGGAGAGGATATGAAAGAGTACATGGAGGGTATGGTTTTAGTGGGAAGAATGAGGCTGGAGAAAGAATTCTGGATTTCACAGTATCGTATGATCTTGCTGTGTTAAATACTTTTTTTAAAAAGAGGGAAGAACATTATATAATATATAAGAGTGAGAGGAATAGATCACAGATCGATTATTTTATGTAGAAGAGAGAGAGCGTAAAGCCAGTAAAAGATTGAAAAGTTATACCAGGCGAGAATGTAACTACACAACATAGACTGATGGTAATGGAGTTGTGGTGTACTGGAAAGAGAATAAACAAAAATAAAAGAAACACGGGGGAAAAATCGAAGATCCGGTAATGGAAATTGAAAGGGGAAAATGAAAAAAAATTTGTGAAGACGATAAAAGAGTGGAAGGTGTGGAATGTCGAGGGGGACATAAATGATGTGTGGAATAGATTTGCTAGTTTTGTAAAGAATACTGCCAATGAGATTGTTGGTGAAATTAGAAGTAGAATGCTAGGAAACAAAGAAATCTGGTGGTGGAATAAAAACGTTAAAAAAATCATAGAAAATAAGAGTATAAACGCTTGTGCAAAGAAGTCAAGTGTGCAGTAAGTAAGGCGAAGTTTAATGATGAGTTTTATGATAGGCTAGGAACAAAGGAAGACGAGAAAAAAATCTATTGACTTGCAAATGTAAGTGAGAAAAGGTCTAAAGATTATCATTATATAAGGTGTATAAAACGTGTTGATAATAAGGTACTCTTGAGTGATGATGATGTGAAAAAAAGGTGGAAAGAGTATTTTGACAAATTATTGAATGAGAGCACCCAAAAGAGACATTAGAGGATATCTCGTGGAATGAGGGACTGGTAGATTTAATTAGTGAGAAAGAGGTATGGTAGGCTGTGGCATAAATAAAAAAGAATAAAACAGTAGGACCAGATGAAGTGCCAGTAGAAGTATAGAAAATATTAGGCGGTGTTGGCATAAGGGGGTTAAAGGAACTTTTAAATAAAATCTTATTAGAAGGGAAAATACCCAATGAATGGAGGAATAGTATTGTGGTGCCGATATTTAAAGGTAAAGAAGACATACAGAAGTGTGAACATTATAGAGGCATAAAGCTTATGAGTCATAGTATGAAAATTTTGGAAAAGGTAATAGATATGAAAATAAGAAATGAGATATCGGTATCTAAAAACCAGTTTGGATTTATGCCTGATAAGTCAATAATGGAGCCAGTATTTTGTGTGAGACAACTAATAGAAAAGTTTATGGAAAAGAAGAAAAAACTGTGTATGGTATTTATAGATTTGGAGAAAGTGTATGACAGAGTACCGAGAAAGGTTTTAAAGTGGGCATTTATGAGAAAAGGATTACCGAAAAGGTACATTAATATAATATAATATATGTATGGTGGCACTTGTACCAGTGTAAAAAGCGTAGGAGGAGTATCAGAAGGTTTTCAGGTAAGAGTAGGAGTGCACCAAGGTTTTACTTTAAGCCCTTACTTATTCTCTATATTGATGGATGAAATTACTAGAGAGGTGCCGTGGTGTATGTTGTTTGCTGACGATATAATATTAATAGGAGAAAATAGTGAGGAAATTAATTAAAGGCTAGAGATGTGGAGATCAGCTCTTGAAGAAAAGGGTTTAAGAATGAGTAGAAGTAAGACAGAGTATATAGAGTATGAGTTTGAAAAAGGAGAACACGAGGTAGGTGTAATAAGGTCAGTGACAATAGGCGAGGACATGATTGGAGAGGTAGAGAGTTTTAAGTATTTAGGGTCAGTTGTGAAAAAGAGTGGTGGTATTGACGAAGATGTATGACACAGAATTAAGTGCGGTTGGTTGAAGTGGAGAGAAGCGTCCGGCGTCTAAAAGTAATCCAATTTTACAAGACTGTAATAAGGTCAGCCATGATGTAGGTTCAGAGTGTTGGACGGTTTATAAGAAAGTAGAGCAGATAATGAGTGTAGCAGAGATTAGAATGCTTAGATAGATGAGTGAAGTGACTAGAAAAGATAGAATATGGAACAAGCATATAAGAGGTGTATAGGTGTAGCATCAATCATGGATAAGATGAGAGAAAATAGACTTAGATGGTTTGGTCATGTTATGAGGAGAGAAGAATCGGAAGCTGTAAGAACAGTTATAGAAATGAATGTTGAAGAAAAAAGAGGTAGAGGAAAACCAAAAAAGAGATGGAGGGATGCTATTGTATGCGATTTGAGGACAGCTGATGTGAGCGTAGATGATGTGAGAGAACGTGTCAAGTGGAAGTTTAGGATAAGGGTGGCCGACCCCAAATTGTTGGGATTAAGGCGAGGAAGAAGAAAAAAGAGTTATCATTTCGTATATATTTTTGAAAAACTTATAGATTACACCGGCACACAAAAAAAAAAAGTTGTCTGTACTTTTGACCGGACCCACCTACGGACATGTATTTTGACCCGCTGAATCCGAATTTGAAGTCCGTTTGGCCCGGTCACCCTTCAGATTTGAGTAAAATGCAAAAAACCAAAAAATAGGCAAAAAACTGCAGTCACAGCGATGAAAAAAATTTTTTTGACCTTGATCAAGTATGATTTTTAGTGTATTTCAATTTACTGAAACTGAATCTGAACGTTAATTAGCCTGTTGAGTCGACAACATTTGAAAAATAGCAAAAAAACCCAAAAAATTTCAATAAATACAACTTTTTTTTTTTGTGTGCCGGTGTTATCTACCCACAAGGTGAAATTTAAAATAGCATCTTTTGTATGAAAATATATCTTTTAAAAATGTCCCGGAAATTTTTATATAAATCCTAAATTTAAACTTATATAATATACTATGTTTTGTAAGAAAAAATTGACCTCTGAACTTGTTTTTATGGTGAATATGTTACGGTTTTCAAAAATATGCTACTTTTATGAAAAAATTCTCGATTTTATATTTTAAATTTAAATTTTGTATTACTACATTTTTTTTAAAAAAGGATATACAATACAAATTATTTTTATAAATATTTTATCCGTTATACTTTTTTTTTTAAATCCGACCATTTCCCTACGTACAGTAAAAACTTTAAACACGTTCATAGAAAGTAGAACATTTTCAACTTTTAATAATATTTCGAAAATACCGACACTTTATACATAGAGTGTTACAGGGAACAATTAAAAACCGTTTCCTTACACCATATATCATTAATTAAATCTTATGAAATATACTGAAATTTAAAAGAAATAATTAACTCTAGACTTGGCTTTTTAGTGAAAACGGTCATCAAAATTAAAAAAAAGGTATGATTTTCTTATACACAGTGGAATATTAAAATAAATTTAATAAAATCTTGTACAAAAACTTATTAGAAAATGTGTTTAAGAAATTAGTATAAATTTCATTGCCATATTAATAAAGGTGTGAAAAGGGACAAATCAAGCTTAAATTTTTTATTCAAAAATATTTATTTTGACTTTAATCTTATATAACTTAATTTTATTAAAAAAAAAGCCGAGTCCACAATTCTTTCACCCTCAAAAAAAAAAATTCAATATAAAAATGTTTTTTTCGTGTCAATTATACACCGTTATTTCTTTATAAAATATACTTCATCATACATCATGTATGTTATAATTTTAAGTATTAAATAAAAAAGCTAATTTAAGTTTTATATATTTGTTGAGTTATAAATAGGATTTTTTAATTATTTACATTAATTAAAAATTTGTAGATTTCATACATTAAAAACCATCATCGATGTTTAAAACAAATATCTTATTGATTTGAATAAATAAAGGCCGCTATAAATAAATAACAAAAAGATCTGCTATCTACTATCAATCAATTAAATATAATTACAGACGCTCATTCTAACGTAGATAATTTTCATTGAAAAGTTACATATTTATAACTATTATTTAGCATAAAAAGATTATGTTTTTTCTGTTCTTTTCCCAATACATATTGTTGTCATGTTTAAAATCGTAAGATAAACACAAAAATTGTATTAAAATTTTAAAAATAAAAATTTGTATAAACTTAAAAATACAACAGATAATTTACTACTGAACACTAATAAAATATTTTCACACCAATTTTTTGTTAAAATCTTTTCTACAAAATGGCTATCATTAATTTCTTTTTTACATTTTCCTTAAGTTTTAAATTTGTTTATATATTTTTATTAAGTTAAAAAATAAGGTATATTATGTTATTTATAATCAGGTATAAAAATTATTTAAAAAAGAAATTAACATAAAATATTAATTGGATTTAATAAATGATTTTATTATCATTACCCACAATTACTTACAGAATAAATATAATTTAAATATTTTTTTTTGGTAATCTTTAGTTACACATTAATCTTGAATTATTAATTATGTAATACTTATGAAGTTCATCCCTTTGCATGGTAAGAGTGTCAACTTAGTTTTAGCTTCGATTCGAAGCTAAGAAGGTATTAATTTTACTATGATGTGTTTATTTTTTTGTGTCTGACACTACTTTTTCTCAACTTTCAGTGGACCGATTTTTCTCAACGATACGACAAAAATTAAATTCGTATCTAGTTGAAGACATTTACCTCAAAAATTAAAAATTCTTCCCTCGTTCCCTGTAAATGGTGAAATCCCCTAAAAAATTTTATTATACGATTTTTATAATCGGTAAATTTCGACACTTTTTAAATTTTATTTTTTAAAAATTTCAATAACTTAGTAAAAAATGAACAAATCTAAATAATTATTTTTTATATTAAAACCACGGATATTTTTCTTTCATTTGATATAAAATTTTTGAAGTCTGACCATTTATCACAGGGGGAATTCAAAATATTAACAAAAATTAAACATTTTCAACATATGTTTTAAAAATGTTCCAGAAATACTATGAGCTTTAAATATATGTCAAATTAAAGCTTATGATAAATACTAAAAAAAAAAACTGTCCCGACACCTTTTTTTCTATAGGAAAATAAAGCTTATGTTATGCACTATAAGTTAAAAAAAAAATTTGTCTCTCCGTCTTATCTTTTATTTACAAATGGTTACCGTAGTTAAAAAACTTGCAATTGTGGTGTTAAAATTTACGATTTCATATTTTATTTCTTCAACTTTAAATTACTATAATTTTTCTAAAAATGTATGGATCAATACAATAATTTTTCATAAATATATGTTTACTTCTATCATTTGATATACATTTTTTGAAAATCTAACTTATGACCTGACCATAGCTGTGCACAGGAGGGATTCAAAATAATAATTTTTACACACCAGTTAAACTTTTTCAACCTAATTTTTGAAAAATTTCCGGAAATATTAACACTTTTATTTAATATTAAATTAAAGCTTATGTAATATACTATACTATGAAAAAAAAATTTCGAGATATAGTGAACATGATTTTCATATTCAAAAATATGCTATATTTGTGTTAAAATTATTGTTATTGAATTTTAATTTATTTTAATATACCTTACAATGGGATACACTGATTTTCATAAATATTATATAAAACTAATTGACATAGAATATAAAGTTAAACTTATTTAAATTTTTTTTTCTTTTAGGTCAAAAAATTTAATTTTAACATTTGAATCAGCTTATATTTCCAATTTTATCGAAAAATAAATGCGACGAACGTTTGCCGATTCAGTAAAAATCATTGCCTATGGCCATGATTTTTTTGAAATATTTCCTTAATTCTTTTTTAGTTAGAATATTGCTTTTGAATAATTCACCAATTTCTTGAAGTTAATCACTATATACAGATTTGCATCGAAGTGTGTTTCTTATTATAGTGATTTTAATCACTGTCAGATATCATCTGTACTTGTCCAAACTATGGCACGCTCACACTGTGTTATGGTTTTTTATAATGGGAACACATATTTTGAATTTAGTAAAATGTTTTAGTTTTTAATTTAATATAAAATGGCATATGAATTTTTAATATAACTTTAGTTGTTTATTAAATATATACATTAAAGTTTCAAATTTTTGAGTTAATATAAATGTATAATACACTAGGGATTATAAATACAGGTAGTTAATCGGTTTTTTATGACATCGATATTAGCAGGTACACAGCATTGTTATTATCAATGGTAGTAAGGCATTGTTGTGAGTTTATATATACACTAACTGACAATACAAAAAATATATTTATTGATAGTCGTAATTAATAATAAACAATCTGTGACTATGACAAGTTATAAGGGATGATCTTAAAAAGTATCATATAGTTAATAATTCAAGAATAATGTGTAACTAATGATTACAAAAAAAAATGTTTAATTTATATTTATTCTGTAAGTTATTGAGTGGGTTATGATAAAAAAATCACTATTATGGTGTCCCGCTGTATTTTACTAATTTTAACATTAGTTTTTAAAGTCAAATTAATAAATCACAGTGGGACATCGTGTATATTAATTTTTTTATATATTATGTAAATATATATAAGCATTTGAAGATTTTGAAAAGGTAAAACTGTAGTCCTTAGCGATGCTCTATTTTGTAGTACGTATAATAAATTTATATAATATATTTATTAAGGTTTTGGTTTTTAAACATTAACATGATAATAATAAGTGAAGTATAGCATTAGTATTTAAAGATAATTAATCTAAATTGTCAGGGAGTCTATTGGTTCGCTTTGAGGGAGACTATGTTTGTAATGATTATATTTTATTATATTTATAATTTCGGTAAAAACTGATACATTTTGCAAAATACCAAGATAGTATTAATTATTAATTAATTTAATGATTTAGAAATCAATTATTGCTATAATAATAAATGATTNCATTTTGCAAAATACCAAGATAGTATTAATTATTAATTAATTTAATGATTTAGAAATCAATTATTGCTATAATAATAAATGATTTATTCAAATACAAAAATATTTCTAAATGAATCAAATACAATTTTAAATAGTATTTATTATAATTAATTTCTACATTCAATTTTATTAAAAACTAGTAATATTAATAATATTAAAACTTAATGAAACCATTTTTCGTACATACAAGAATTAAAGTATTTTAAAATATCATTATTAAATAAACACATTAGTGATTCAATTCTATTATAATAATTCTGTAGAGTGTGAAAATTATTCATCAAGCATTTCTTGTTCGCCTGAAATATGTTCGTTATCATATTATCTTTAATTGATTGTTCTAAATTTGTAACTGGATGATTATACTTTATTAACAATTTTTTTAGTATACACTGGACTTTTTCAACTATTATTTTAAAACGATCATATGAATCTGTTTTATATTTTGCTGTCAAATGAGACATTATACGTTTATAAAACTCATTACCATTTAAATGCAAAATATTAATTGTGTTTTTTAATGGTATGACAATATTTTCTAAAAAATTATCAAACTTCAATTTGATTTCGGGTGAATTCTGTTTAAGAAACTCCGGCGACCACCTGCCTTTTTGATACTCCAAAAGATGTCTAAGGACACAATAGAGCATTGTAATTGTTACTGTATCCTTAAGTAAAGTAATATATTTTGATACAGAAAAAACATTAATGATCCATTGATTTTGTGCTAATTGATGTGCTTCATCCAACATTTCATTAAATGATAACCAATTAATACCCTTAAAATAATCAGAATATGGTGTAATCTTTTGATGGACATCACTACTTTTCCACAAAAAATTAAACATATTTTTGAACTCTGGTTCATATCTATACAAATTTTTCAAGTATATATCGAAATTGCCAATGAGGTCTACTTCCATGATTAAAATTATAAACTTGTCTAGAAGTTTATCTTTTTCAGGTGAATTATTTTGTGTTATTATAATATTATTTAAACTAACAAATTCGTCTTTAATACACATTGAAACAAAACTATAGTTATCATTAATACTAAAATCTTTAAAAAGCTCTTTTTTAGTAATTTTTTTGTATTTTAAGGCTTGTAATTTAATAAGGATTGTCCAAAGCCAACTAGGAGCAACTATTTTACCAATAAAAAGAACTGACAACATGCGACCAATACAGTCTTCAAATATTTGTAAAATTTTATGTTCATCTAGATATTCATTGTTAACATATCTAAATTCTCTATTTTCTGTTAATTCCATACTAAAAATATTCAATATAATGTGAACAATAAACGCATACAAACACTTTAGGCTCATTATTTTGGTATCAAACATCTTATTCACTAAGCAATTCTTGCCACTTTGTAGTTCATCTAAATCTTCTGTTTTAAAAGTTATGTTACACTGTTCCTTAGTTTTTATTTCATTGACATATTGTAAGAAGTTACTGAAATAATTTTTATCCTATAGAATATACAATAAGATGTTATTAATTTTATATGAAGTATTAGTTTAATAAACATATGCTATAGGTTTTAGTAAAACACATAGCATATGAGTATGTTTATAAAATAATAATAATATTTCTAAAAAGTAAGATAAATTTTACCATTATCATAATTTAAAAAACCAGCATAGTGGGGACAAGTATACAATCGATTCTTGTCCTAATTAATCATTTATACTATATCTGATATTTGACAGTAATTAAAGTCACTATCATAAAAACGCTTCAATGTAAATCTAAAATTGTGTTTAATTTTTGAAAGGAATAATTAAATTATTCTAAAAACAATCCTATTTCCTTATATTTTTCCTGATTACAAGTTTTATAATTTATAATACATAAATAAATACTTATTATAGTAACTGATTTAGTATGAAATAATATTGCATAATTTAAATTTTTTTTGGAGAAATTATTAAAAGTTATAAAATTATTGAATACAAGGTGATTTTTTTTATATTAGTAACTCGATTACTCTAAAAATAATAATTATAATAAAAAAATTCTATTGGGTACTGTTTAATTTTATGCATTTTTCGATTTATTAATTTTTAAGTATTTCTTTTAATTCATACCTTATATCTAATATCTATATCTCTTAAAGTTTTTAGGGGTATTAACTTTATTCTTTTATATGACAATAAACATATTTAATTACCATGTAAAAAAGAAATGATATAATTAAAAAAATTACTATTCGAAAACATTTTTTTAAGTAGTTCGTTACAATTTATTAACATATTTAATTATAGAATAGAGAAAAAGCACGGCAGAGTAATTTCTAATGAAAAAAAAAATAATAATAATACACACTTTATCTCCACTATTTATAATAAATATTTATTCATGTATTGTACTTAAAAGTCGCAAAACACGTTTATGCAGCATTTTCCTAAAAACCTTAAAAAATGTTACTTAGTTCAATTTGTGATCTTTTTACAAATCAGTGTAAGTAATCGGTCCGTTGAGAGTCGAGAAAAAATGGCGACAGACATAAAAATACACATCATAGTAAAATTAAAACCTTCTCAGATTCGTAAATAAAAAAAACAACATTTTGCAAATATAAAATTGTAATTATTTACGAAATTTCCCTAATTTATGAGAGACAAAATATTTTCTATTAAATTTTTAGATACAGTCCTAAACTTGATATAATTTTGATTTTACAACGTATCTTTGAGCAAAATCAATTCAGTGAAAACTGAGAAAAGGACCGACAGATAAAAAAAAAATTAATAATAGTAAAAAATAGACTCATGATACGAGTATTATAACCAATACCTTTACTGCTTCGCAACGAAGTTAAACATTTATCACACATGATTCATATTATTATAATATGCAATAATCAATGTAAAAATCAATTAATTTTTTATTTTAGGTAATATTTACCATGCAATAATTCGTCATACATTTAATGGACATTAAAGATATGAATAAAATAAAAGCGGCATTCAACTTCAATCTTATCATAATTCAATATCTATAAAATGGAAAAATTTAAATAATTAAACTTATAAATTTATAAAAAAACAATTACTAGTTAGATACCTTTTTTATACGTATAGCTTACTAACATGATAACAAAATCTTATATAGTATACTAATATTATTTTTGTAATTCGGAAGATTCATCTATTTAGTCAGATGTTATAAAATTTCTATTTGTTACGCATGAATATATTTATGCATAATAAATAAAAACATTTAAAGATTTTTTAACAAAGAAATGAAATATATTAATATAAAAAAATGTTTAAACTATTTATATTTATATAAACTACTCATTTTTTGTTTTGATTATAAAACCTATTTTAATTGGAACTCCGATAATTCGTAAGTCATTAATATTTTAAACCTAAGAGTTATTCAAAGAGTTATTAAAAGTATCCTAGGAAAAAGTATAGTATTGTTATTATCTTATAAATTTTTTTATTAGTATCTTAACTAGTATATTAAAAATCATAGAATCTTTTCAAAAATAATGCCATAATTTGATTTTAAGGTGAAATTTAAAATAAAAAATGTTTGATTTGAAATAAATATTTTCTTATAAATACATTAATTTCTTTCACATCAGTGACGTCATAGGGAGGGGCAGGGTGTGCGGTTGCATCGTTACTTTAAAAACTATCCCCATTGACCTGCAAAAATTATGCACCAATTTTTTATACATCAATTCAAATTTCAAAAACATTGTATTATCATAAACAATATATTTATAATACTGAACTATTGATATTGATGTTCGTAACAGTTTTTATCACTTTTTTGCTGCGCAGTTACCGGCAAAAATTGATAACTGTAATGAACTGATAAATATAAAATTCAACGTTTTACGACAACAACGCTACATTTTATTTTATAATATTACAATAGTAAGTATTATTATAATTTATATTTACTACTTAAGTTGATTGTGATTCATAATCGATAGAAAAATTAAAAGAAGAATAATTTACTTAAGTAGATATATATCTATTTTTATATGGCATGATGAAATAAAGTTTAAAATATAAATAAGAATTTTTTTTTACAAAAATTGTAATTTTTTTATTAACTTTGATGTCCGTATTATATGAAAACAAAATACAGTTTTTTTTTCCATTATAAAGTATATTACACAAGCTTTAATTTAAGGTACATATAAAGGTGTCAGTATTTCCGAAACAAATTCAAAAGTTAAGTTTTGAACCTCCGCTGTATAAAGGGTAAAGGTCCGAAAAAAAAGTAAGTCGCATAAAAGAAAAACATAAATAGTACTTATATTAAACAAATTATAATGATACTCGCATTTTTGAAAAAGTTATAGCATTATAAAGTTAAAAATATAAAAAAGAATTTTTTTACAATAATCGTATTTTTTTTTAGAACTTTGATGTCTGTTTTCACCGTGAAGACAAAATAAAATACGAATTTTTTTTTTCATAATAAAGTATATTACATAAGCTTTAATTTAAGGTATATATAAAAGTGTCAGTATTTCCGGAACATTTTCAAAAGTTAAGTTGAAAAAGGTAATTTTTTGTAAAAAAGTTGTCATTTTAAATCCCCCCTGTGGGCAGGTAAATAGTCAGATTTTTAAAAAATTTATACCAAATAATAGGTAAAGACATGAAGCAACTATAAAAAAAATTATATTTATTTCATCATTTTTAAAAAAGTTATGGCAGTTTTAAGTAAAAAAATTGAAAAAATATTGAAAATTAACGATTTTTAAATTTGAAATTTTTTCGGAGATTTCACCCATTTACGGGGAATGAGAGAAATTTTTTCAATTTTTAAGGGTAATGTTGTTGGCTAAATACGATTTGTGATCTTTTGCCGTATCGTTGAAAGAAATCGGTTCGGAGAGAGCTGAAAATAAAAGTGATAACAGACACAAAAAAAAAAAAAACAAATCGTAGTAAAACTAATACCATCTCAACTTCGCATTGAAGTTAAAATAGTAACTAAAAGAACTGTAATTATTTGTTCAAAAATTACTTGAAAAAACAAATACAAAACACATGGAAATTAAACATATATACTGACTATTATTTAAAAGTTTTTTCTTAACTTATTTTACAGATGGTGAAGAACAAGGCGGAGGAATAAGTGTAGTCCAACATTGTCCCCAGACTAAGCATAAATGCCGCTTTCGCGCAAAGAGTGCAGCACATATTTGTTTGAGTCTGTACACATACTGTACTGTATTTCTTTATTTTATATTCGAATTTCCTGTATTATGTATTTTGTTTACATACACAAGATAATTATATACTTATCCTCAATTAAAAATGACATTTTGGCATATATAAAGTTTGTTAAAAATCAACCAGGCTCACTAGTCACTGTTTTATATGAGCACGTAAACTATCTTAATCTTAATTTATCTAGCAACTTAACTGAGTAATTAAAACATTTTAATCCACAGTGATTATAGCTTCGATACGAAGCTGAGAAGGTATTAGTTTTACTATGATGTGTTTTTTTTTTTTTGTGTCACCACTTTTTCACAACTTTCACCGAACCGATTTCTTTCGACGATACGTCAAAAGATCACAAAACGTAACTAGTCGAAGACATTACCCTCAAAAATTGAAAAAAATTTCCCTCTTTCCCGTTAATGGGGGAAATCTCCAAAAAAATTACAAATTTAAAAATCGCTAATTTTCAACATTGTTTACTTAAAACTGCCATAACTTTTTTAAAAATGATCAAATCATTATAATTTTTTTATAGATGCTTCATGTCTTTACCTATTATTTGATACATTTTTTTTTATAAATTTGACCCTTTACCTGCCTAAAGGGAGGGATTTAAAATGTCAACTTTTGCACAAAAAATTAACTTTTCAACTTAATTTTTGAAAGTGTTCCGGAAATACTGACACTTTTTTATATATCTTAAATTAAAGCTAATGTAATATACTTAATGAAAAAAAAAAAAATTTTGGACTTTATTTTGTCGTTATGGTAAAAATGGCTACCAAATGCTTTTTATGTGTGATAATTCTCGATTTTATATTTTACATTTTTAACTTTATTATGCTATAACTTATTGAAAAGTGTATGGATCAACATAATTTTTTTATGAGAAATAATATTNCATTTTTAACTTTATAATGCTATAACTTATTGAAAAATGTATGGATCAGCATAATTTTTTTATGAGAAATAATATTTATATCGTTTTTTCATTCTACATACTTCATTTAATCAGGATATAAATAAGGAAATAGTAGATCATGTAGATTTTGGAATAATCAACCAATGTTTTAAAAGTAAACACTATCTAAAGATTTGCATTGAAGCGTTTTTTTGATAGTGATTTCAATCACTGTCAGATATCATTATACTTGACCCAACTACGCCACGTCATCACTATGCCGTGACCCCCCTGTGCTGGGTTTTTTTATTATTACATTTTATAATTAGTATCCACAGCATTACATACTATTAGAATTATATTAAATTAATTACAAAATAATGCTAAAATAGTAACATAGAACTAACATTTTAAAAGTAATCATAATATATTATGATTATGATTATGATAACGAAAAAAAAACAATTAATTGAAAATAGCAAACAATTCGTATTGTATAAAATCAAAGTGTTCATTTTTCAGAGAAAAAGAATTTCATGACAAATCACAGTATTATTGCATTTTTAAAGAAAGTGTAGACTAATGAATAATTTTTAAGTATATAATCATAATTTTCTTTCTTAATATTAAAAAAAAGTTTTATAAGTAGGAATACAAGAAATTTTATCGACATTTTAGTTAAATATGAATAAAATGTTTAGTTAAAGTAACATTATTTTTTATATTTGTCATGTATTGCTAAACTGATGATTTTAAGTAATGATAAAAGATACTTAAAATTAATACAAGGAATTCGGGATTTTTAACAAATTTAAGTAAATAGTACAAAATACTATATTTAATAATAAAAAACATATAACTTTGAATAAATGTTGACGTCATGTATATGTATATTACACAGCGACAAATATTATAGAGCAAGTTGACACTCTTAAGCATTAATTGAATCTCTTAAAGAAAATATTTAGCATAAATAATTCATATTTAGTAAAACTGCTTTTTGATTAATAGAGACTATTTGATAATATACTCATTATTTAATATTAATTAATTTATGAAATATTATTTGATTAAAAAAAATTCCAATTCGTCTGTTTTTTAATAGGACAAATTGATACACTTTATCTTAAATTAGATAATTTTTAAAAAATGTATTGTATATATTTTTTCCAATAAAGAGGATGACTTCCTCAACCCCCTCATTTAAAAAAATTTAAATGTTTTATAAAATCTTTCATTTGGTTTTCGAAGTAGGTTAATTTTTTAATATATGATCTAGTTCAAATAATTATAAAAAAATTATTTTATATGTAGAAATTTCATATAAAAAAAAAAAATTCCTTTATTTTATTTTTATTAAATTTCCTTTTTAGTACATCCTTAATTTGAATAAGACTTTAAATATCAAATAATTTTTTCAGTGATGTTTCCCTTTATGTTTGAAGAAAATTGTTTACTTATTTATTACGCTTAATTTAAAACCTCAGGACTTAAAACAACAACGTAATAACGTTTTTACAAAAAAAGTATAATTGCGATTTAAAAAAACACATATGTTCATTTTAATTCTTTTAAAAGAATTATCATTGTTTGGTTAATGTATTTTAAAATATTTCCATAGAATATTAGCAAACATTCCTTTATAAGGTGATTTATTAATCGTTATCACTTTTTCCTAAAATTCTCAGAATAAAGGGAAAAGGGTAATAACTTATTTTTTTAATTGACAACAAAGTAGTTCTGGAGTTATGAATATTTTTAAACGTCGTTAGGAGGTGTAGCGTAGCAGAATGTTGCGCTACGATAAAAATAACACAACCTACACTTCGACTGTAGCCTACATTTAAAAATGTTATTAACTCCAGAACTACTACTAATAAAAAAGTTTCTATTGATCAGTAATTTTCTTAGCTGGAACATTTTCTATTATATGAACAAATGGATAAATGATATTTTTATTAAAT